ATTTACTTCTTTTTTTTTCAATTTAAATCAGTTGATTTTTTAAATTTAAATCAACTTGATTTTAAAAATAAAACTCAATGATTAAAATCATTTATTTTTTTTTTTTGTATTCAGTTTTTACATATATTTAAACATTCAGAATTCCTTTCTTTGGTTTTATAAAACAGAAATGAGGTTTAATAGACTAATATAATCATGCTTAAAAGTCTGCTTTCCCCCCTGTCACTGTAAAATAATACACAGTGTTCAATTTACTTTTTTCATTATTGAAATTAGCGTTTTCTTTTTCTTTTTAGACAAACAAGCGCGAGCACACACACTATTGAAATGCAAGTTATCTATGCATAATCCCCCCCCCCTTCCTTCTAGACTGACATTTTCTTCATTTTTTGTCTGTAGCCATAACTCACTGATATAGCAGATTAAGGCTTTCTTTTGAAGTTGCTTAAATTAATCATTAGTTAAAATAAATAAAGACAATGCATTTTGCACTCAAAGAACATACTTTTAGCCACCAAAAATCCCAAACTGTCAACATTTTTTTTTAAATATAAAAAATCGATTTTTTACATTTTTATTTACAAAATCAAAAGTCACCAACCCTGCTTTTTTGGTGTATGTTACTGTTACTCTCATATAAGGTAACACATAATCTATTCTTCAGCACTTATATGACATTGTGCTGCAAATGCCGTAAAAGTCTTACATGTACTAAAACAAAACAAAGTTCTCGCCTTGTGCTGGAGTATATCATCAGCCATCTAGTCCAAGAGCTCTTTAACTTCTTCAGCCCTGGGCTGTGGTCTCCAGAACTGTAAATGGGCTGATTCATCGATGTCATGCTCATACTGTGCCGGAACTGCAACAGGGAACTGCTGCCTTTTCTTTCCTCATCCTTACTATCGTCAATTTTCCTTTAATTCTTTTGTATGTTTGAGTTTGTCACTCTCTTGTGAACTGCTATTTCCATGGTGCCTTGATAGTCGAAGCAGACTTTGTGCTGTTGATTTTATTCGAAATTCGCAAAATTGAGCTCGATTTTGTATTTGAGTAGGAGAAAAATAGGCCTAATAGATCAAGGTAATTGAATTGTCAAAATTTCCTAATAAGGGGATCGACTGCTCAGATCAGTAAAAATATTGAAAAATTATCATTTTTCCGATTTCGGAGTATCTTTATAGAGATCCTATATCAAGAATCCATCCTTAGAAGCCTAATTTATCAAACTTTTAAAAAACTGGAAAAGCATTTGAGAGAGGCAGCAATGTAGGAAAATCTTCACCAAAAATTCTCTCTCTTTGCAGTTTTCTCAGAATTGTTTATCGGACCAGGTTGCAACACAACATTAATTTCAGTAGGTCAGAAAGTTACTGTCAATATTTATTCAAATTTGCACACAATCTTTTATACACACATACGACCTTACAGCATTTTTGCTAATTATCATACACATTTGGAGTCTTAGGACTTTTTAATTTTACAAAATCTTAAAATATTGGAGACCTGAATGTAGTGCATAAGGACTGTACTGTAAAGCTCACAAGATCGTACAGAACATTCCAATTTATCTCTGTAAAACTACCTACCTACCTACCAACAGTAATCTCCATGCCAAATAGTAGGCTTCTATCTTGATGAGCGTTGATGACTGACATAAAATAAGTTTGTTTTTAAAAATGCTGATTCAATCCTTTCTAAACTTTCTTTTGGATGACGGTTCAAGTTCAAGATTATTTATGGCTCAAAATAAAATCTTGCCTTTTTTGCTTGGTAACGTCGTTTTGTACAGTCCATGTAGGTCTACTGCTATACTATATCGCAGTAGGTCTACTGCTATACCATATCGCAGCCTTCCATGCACAAAAGCAAACATTAGACCAAAAACTAGCCTTTGGGTGTTGATCATGGCTACACCGCCTTAAACACTACACCCAGGCCTAGTGTCGCTGATGGAATTTGACTGTCGTCCAAACTGTCGCTAATGTTTTGGTCGGAAGTGTTTATACAATTTGGCCAACCGTTCATTTGCTACATTAGCCTATTGCCAAGTTGGAAAGTGAACCATTTTCCGCGCCATTTACTGTTACAAAGAAGCATTTTTAGTAATTTTCATTCATGTAGGCTACAGTACCGGTACTAAAGGAGATTCAAAAGTCAAAATCTCTTCATATACTCGATCTAGGCCGATATAATTAGTAAAGTTTTACATGTAACTCGATTACAATTACATTACCGAAACTGAAGACAGACCCAGGCTGAGAGGGATACAACATCCCAGCAGACAGACCCGGGCTGAGAGGGATACAACATCCCAGCAGACAGACCCAGGCTGAGAGGGATACAACATCCCAGCAGAAAGACTGAGATACTCCATAAAAACTCTCTCCACTCCGTACATGTCCAAAGCAAGCCTCCTACATGCCATCAGTAAAGCGCCTGGCTTCTACACACTACACCACAGACGCGGATACATTATTCAAATAGTAAAAGTAAAACACCGTAAGTCTTCATGTGTTACTCCCCCACAGACAGTTTGGCTCATTTAGACTGTCCCCGTCGTTTTATGCACCCCGCATAATTTAGCAAAATTTGATCATTTTTTGCATAATTTAGGATTATTTTCCTTTGTCATTCTTTGATAAAATTAACAGAATCGCATAATTTCACATTTTTGGGCTCATTTTGCATAATTTCTGAATTTTTCTTGCATAAAATGACGGGGACAGTTTAGGAGGCCGGCTGCTACACCACAGACACCGATAGATAATTGAAATTGTAAAACACCTTAAGTCTTTGTTTAGTTTTAGTAAGAGTTTTATGGCACGTGCAACACAATTGAATAAGTGCTGAAGAATAGATGTGTTACAAGAGAGTAACATACACAAATAAAGGAGGAGAGATAAAGACGAAAGATGTTTGTTGACAGGAAAGAGGGAGCAAACTACAACAGCGTACCCGCCAACCACCCACCGAAGTCTTCATGTGTTACTCCGAATAACTCCCCCACTGACACAGTTTGGCTCATATATAGGAGGCTGGCTGCTTTGACCCGGCCTGTCTGTGGCCAACCCCAGCGGAGCATGCTACAACCTGTGACTAGACCTGTCCCTGTCGTTTTATGCTAGAAAAATTCTGAAATTCTGCAAACTGAGCCCAAAAATGTGAAATTATGCGATTCTGTTAATTTTAACAAAGAATGATAAATAAAGGAAAATAATCAGAAATTATGCAAGCACAAAAATGATCCAATTTTGCCAAATTCTGCGGGGTGCATAAACCACGGGACAGGCTACAAGGTGCAGCAGTCACACAACGGTACATGATGCACTTATCTAACACTTCCCCTCTCGGGAAACAAACTCCTTCTGTATGCCACAGCAAAGAGTTTAACCGCTACACCACAGACGCCAATAACATTTTAGTTGTAGTAAGTGTTTTATGGCACTTGCAACACAATAAAGTCATATGTGTTCCGAACATTAGAGGTGTTACAAGAGAATAACGAACATAAAAAAGGAAGGGAGATAAAGACGATAGATGTTTGATAGGAAAGAAGAAGCAAACCACACCAGAGCACCTGCCAACCACCAACACCAATAACAATAATATTTTAAACTGCCAAGACTCCTAGTATTACTATTACTATTGTCCTAGACATAAAAAAAAAATTTTTAATAAAAAACTAATGAATTAAATATCAAATACTAACAAATAGGTAGATCTAATAATTATAATCGTTATTCATTTCTCATTTTTTCATCAGGTGTTGAAATATTCTCGTACCTACTTGCTCACATTCTCATAATCATAGCAATCATTGTTTGATAAGCTAGTTTTAGTAGAGGTTTTACGGTGCTCGCAACTGCATAAGGTCATATGAGCGCGCGGGACACATTAAACTTTTTCAGTTGGTAGGAAATTTTGAATTTTGCCCGGGTGGCGGCCGAAGCCTACTCTTATCGATTTTAGACCACCAAGGGATCTTTAACGTGTGCAACTTGCACACGGGCCCTCTGAGATTTTTCGCCCTTGTCTGAAAATGTTAGGTGTAGATCTTTCCTACCATAAT